GATTGAAAGATTATACTCAAAGAAGGTTTATGGATTAGCTTTTTGTAAAGTAAAAATTGTAATTATAAATATATTAGTTTTAAATAGATGACAAAAAAAGTTTAAATTTATTTATAAAATACTATTAGAATCCAAATTTTCTAAGTAAGTAGATAGCCTGATTAAATTCTAGAACTTTATGAAAAACATTCAAATAACTCTAATGGTTTCAAAATAATGTATATATTTTTAAAGAAAAGCCCAACAATATTAGCATTTATACTGATAGAAATAAAGTGAAGGAAATTTACTATAAAATTAGCATTATGAGTTGGGTGAATTTTAAATTTCTTCTTATATTGAAATTTCTATATGGATCAAATATTTATTGTCTCTGTTAATTATTTATTTTACTCATCTAAAAACAAAAAATGATGCTCTCTAATTTTACACAGTAATTATATAATACCTAGGATTCATACTCTCAATAGTCATCATTACAAACTTATTGTATCAATCATCATTAGATGTAATTCAATTATTTTAGTTATCCTCAAAAAGGGGATTTATTTGTTTATAATTATACTCACATACTGGTCAACGAAAAATAAATGATTATTCCTATTATTTCCAAATTCTATTGACTTTAGTTGAAATTATTATTAATATTATTTTGATACAAAGGCATTCTATATTATAATATGATATGTTTGATGAGAATTACTAAAATAAATACAAGAATATACTAATTCAATTGACTTATTACCATAAAAATAAGATTGTATGAATCTTCTCCCAGAAACTTCATTGTAATCTTAAATTAATTAGATAAATCATACCTTTTCATTTTGAATAATGATTGATAATAATTAAATTATTATGTAAATGAAAATGTAATTCTAGAATGATATCAANTATAAGCAATCAACATCATTAGGATCAATAACTAATGCTTTGTCCACCCAAGTGATTGCATCCTCATATTTATTTAATAATCTTAAACATACTCCTATTAATTAAATTTTGATTCAATCTACCTTTTTAATATAAGGAAATAACATGCTTAGGATCAATAACTAATGCTTTGTCCACCCAAGTGATTGCATCCTCATATTTATTTAATACTATTAAACATGCTCCTATTAATTAAATTATGATTCAATCTACCTTTCTCATATAAGCAATCAACATCATTAGGATCAATAACTAATGCTTTGTCCACCCAAGTGATTGCATCCTCATATTTATTTAATAATCTTAAACATACTCCTATTAATTAAATTTTGATTCAATCTACCTTTTTAATATAAGGAAATAACATGCTTAGGATCAATAACTAATGCTTTGTCCACCCAAGTGATTGCATCCTCATATTTATTTAATACTATTAAACATGCTCCTATTAATTAAATTATGATTCAATCTACCTTTCTCATATAAGCAATCAACATCATTAGGATCAATAACTAATGCTTTGTCCACCCAAGTGATTGCATCCTCATATTTATTTAATAATCTTAAACATACTCCTATTAATTAAATTTTGATTCAATCTACCTTTTTAATATAAGGAAATAACATGCTTAGGATCAATAACTAATGCTTTGTCCACCCAAGTGATTGCATCCTCATATTTATTTAATACTATTAAACATGCTCCTATTAATTAAATTATGATTCAATCTACCTTTCTCATATAAGCAATCAACATCATTAGGATCAATAACTAATGCTTTGTCCACCCAAGTGATTGCATCCTCATATTTATTTAATAATCTTAAACATACTCCTATTAATTAAATTTTGATTCAATCTACCTTTTTAATATAAGGAAATAACATGCTTAGGATCAATAACTAATGCTTTGTCCACCCAAGTGATTGCATCCTCATATTTATTTAATACTATTAAACATGCTCCTATTAATTAAATTATGATTCAATCTACCTTTCTCATATAAGCAATCAACATCATTAGGATCAATAACTAATGCTTTGTCCACCCAAGTGATTGCATCCTCATATTTATTTAATAATCTTAAACATACTCCTATTAATTAAATTTTGATTCAATCTACCTTTTTAATATAAGGAAATAACATGCTTAGGATCAATAACTAATGCTTTGTCCACCCAAGTGATTGCATCCTCATATTTATTTAATACTATTAAACATGCTCCTATTAATTAAATTATGATTCAATCTACCTTTCTCATATAAGCAATCAACATCATTAGGATCAATAACTAATGCTTTGTCCACCCAAGTGATTGCATCCTCATATTTATTTAATAATCTTAAACATACTCCTATTAATTAAATTTTGATTCAATCTACCTTTTTAATATAAGGAAATAACATGCTTAGGATCAATAACTAATGCTTTGTCCACCCAAGTGATTGCATCCTCATATTTATTTAATACTATTAAACATGCTCCTATTAATTAAATTATGATTCAATCTACCTTTCTCATATAAGCAATCAACATCATTAGGATCAATAACTAATGCTTTGTCCACCCAAGTGATTGCATCCTCATATTTATTTAATAATCTTAAACATACTCCTATTAATTAAATTTTGATTCAATCTACCTTTTTAATATAAGGAAATAACATGCTTAGGATCAATAACTAATGCTTTGTCCACCCAAGTGATTGCATCCTCATATTTATTTAATACTATTAAACATGCTCCTATTAATTAAATTATGATTCAATCTACCTTTCTCATATAAGCAATCAACATCATTAGGATCAATAACTAATGCTTTGTCCACCCAAGTGATTGCATCCTCATATTTATTTAATAATCTTAAACATACTCCTATTAATTAAATTTTGATTCAATCTACCTTTTTAATATAAGGAAATAACATGCTTAGGATCAATAACTAATGCTTTGTCCACCCAAGTGATTGCATCCTCATATTTATTTAATACTATTAAACATGCTCCTATTAATTAAATTATGATTCAATCTACCTTTCTCATATAAGCAATCAACATCATTAGGATCAATAACTAATGCTTTGTCCACCCAAGTGATTGCATCCTCATATTTATTTAATAATCTTAAACATACTCCTATTAATTAAATTTTGATTCAATCTACCTTTTTAATATAAGGAAATAACATGCTTAGGATCAATAACTAATGCTTTGTCCACCCAAGTGATTGCATCCTCATATTTATTTAATACTATTAAACATGCTCCTATTAATTAAATTATGATTCAATCTACCTTTCTCATATAAGCAATCAACATCATTAGGATCAATAACTAATGCTTTGTCCACCCAAGTGATTGCATCCTCATATTTATTTAATAATCTTAAACATACTCCTATTAATTAAATTTTGATTCAATCTACCTTTTTAATATAAGGAAATAACATGCTTAGGATCAATAACTAATGCTTTGTCCACCCAAGTGATTGCATCCTCATATTTATTTAATACTATTAAACATGCTCCTATTAATTAAATTATGATTCAATCTACCTTTCTCATATAAGCAATCAACATCATTAGGATCAATAACTAATGCTTTGTCCACCCAAGTGATTGCATCCTCATATTTATTTAATAATCTTAAACATACTCCTATTAATTAAATTTTGATTCAATCTACCTTTTTAATATAAGGAAATAACATGCTTAGGATCAATAACTAATGCTTTGTCCACCCAAGTGATTGCATCCTCATATTTATTTAATACTATTAAACATGCTCCTATTAATTAAATTATGATTCAATCTACCTTTCTCATATAAGCAATCAACATCATTAGGATCAATAACTAATGCTTTGTCCACCCAAGTGATTGCATCCTCATATTTATTTAATAATCTTAAACATACTCCTATTAATTAAATTTTGATTCAATCTACCTTTTTAATATAAGGAAATAACATGCTTAGGATCAATAACTAATGCTTTGTCCACCCAAGTGATTGCATCCTCATATTTATTTAATACTATTAAACATGCTCCTATTAATTAAATTATGATTCAATCTACCTTTCTCATATAAGCAATCAACATCATTAGGATCAATAACTAATGCTTTGTCCACCCAAGTGATTGCATCCTCATATTTATTTAATAATCTTAAACATACTCCTATTAATTAAATTTTGATTCAATCTACCTTTTTAATATAAGGAAATAACATGCTTAGGATCAATAACTAATGCTTTGTCCACCCAAGTGATTGCATCCTCATATTTATTTAATACTATTAAACATGCTCCTATTAATTAAATTATGATTCAATCTACCTTTCTCATATAAGCAATCAACATCATTAGGATCAATAACTAATGCTTTGTCCACCCAAGTGATTGCATCCTCATATTTATTTAATAATCTTAAACATACTCCTATTAATTAAATTTTGATTCAATCTACCTTTTTAATATAAGGAAATAACATGCTTAGGATCAATAACTAATGCTTTGTCCACCCAAGTGATTGCATCCTCATATTTATTTAATACTATTAAACATGCTCCTATTAATTAAATTATGATTCAATCTACCTTTCTCATATAAGCAATCAACATCATTAGGATCAATAACTAATGCTTTGTCCACCCAAGTGATTGCATCCTCATATTTATTTAATAATCTTAAACATACTCCTATTAATTAAATTTTGATTCAATCTACCTTTTTAATATAAGGAAATAACATGCTTAGGATCAATAACTAATGCTTTGTCCACCCAAGTGATTGCATCCTCATATTTATTTAATACTATTAAACATGCTCCTATTAATTAAATTATGATTCAATCTACCTTTCTCATATAAGCAATCAACATCATTAGGATCAATAACTAATGCTTTGTCCACCCAAGTGATTGCATCCTCATATTTATTTAATAATCTTAAACATACTCCTATTAATTAAATTTTGATTCAATCTACCTTTTTAATATAAGGAAATAACATGCTTAGGATCAATAACTAATGCTTTGTCCACCCAAGTGATTGCATCCTCATATTTATTTAATACTATTAAACATGCTCCTATTAATTAAATTTTGATTCAATCTACCTTTTTAATATAAGGAAATAACATGCTTAGGATCAATAACTAATGCTTTGTCCACCCAAGTGATTGCATCCTCATATTTATTTAATACTATTAAACATGCTCCTATTAATTAAATTATGATTCAATCTACCTTTCTCATATAAGCAATCAACATCATTAGGATCAATAACTAATGCTTTGTCCACCCAAGTGATTGCATCCTCATATTTATTTAATGCTCTTAAACATTAACCTATTAATAAAATTATAATCCAATCTACCTTTCTCACGTAAGGAATTAACATTTTTAGGATCAATAACTAATGCTTTGTCCACCCAAGTGATTGCATCCTCATATTTCTGTAAAAATCTTAAACACGAACCTATTATTTAACAAGTATTTTTACCTTTACACAATAAAGATAAATGGTTATCTGGATTTTATTGTATTGATGCATCAAATATATCTATTGCCTCAGCATATTTATCCTTCTAATATAGTTTATAACCTAAATTTTAATAATATGATTACCTTTATCAAATAGGTCTTTGGATAATTTTATAGAATTTTCATCAATTTAATAATAATTAATTGATGATAATTTTAATTATTTATATAAGTTATCAAATGTATAAATTAATTTGTTAGTCTGATCTAAAATGATTTTTGTAATTGATTGTTTGTATTCCATAAATTTGACACTTGAATTCAAATAATCATTTATTTAGACTGAGTTCAATTATAGAAATCTTTCTTTTAATAATGTATATTTTTATCTGATTCCCTTTTTTAATAATGTAAATGATTGATTCAGATTGTCTAGATATATATTAAGATCATCAATCAATTTATCACATTCTTAATTTTTATTTTCAATGAATCCAATCAAGCTATTGATTTTTTCAACATCATCAAAATGATCATTATGGATTCTT